CATGAACAGGGGAGATATCCCCCTGCAAGGGGTTGGCTGAACCAAGAGCATGTAAAGGCGAAACATGGGTCTAACACTGTATAAGTGACAAATCAGACCTCATATACGGCTCAGAAGAATGTTACCGACTTAGTTTTGTTTTTGATAAGGTCTTCACAAAGCGCTGAAAGAGCAAGAAAAAGATTACGTTTCGCAATTTTAGACATAGGTTTCTTTGAGAGCTTGTTCAAAAACATAAAATGAAAATGAAGGCCTAAGCCTATGGAAAAAAAGTGCAAAGTTCCCTTTCCAGTTCTCTTAAAGGAAACTCAGAAATCAAACGAAAGCAGATGACCTCCAAATGAATAACAAAAACCGCTCTTTTTAGAGGCTTTCTTAAGATCACTATGCGCAGCAATAATCGAGAGGGGAGCGATAATACGCATCAAGTGTGAAAAATTCATTTTAATTCGTTGCTGCAACGCACTAAGGCCTTTTGGGAAACAAAATACTGTTTCGAAATCAGCGAGACCTCGAAAGTCTCACAAAAAAGCGTAAAAGGCTTTATCTTCAAAGGGTTAAAAGATGGGTCCCGATAACGGAATTGTACTCCTTGTACACTTCAATAACGAAGATTTACCTGTAAACGAGACGAGCCCATATAGGACAGATTCGTCTCATTCAAAGCCTTCTTAGCGTTCTCGGCGCTATCAAATCCAACGAAAGCGAATTTACGGAACTTTCCTTCTTTTGTGTATTTCAGGGTACAATCACTCAGAGTGCCATATTTTTGGAAGAACGACCGCAACTTCGCCTCCGTACAATTCGATGGCAAACTTTTAACGATAAGTCGAGTTGTCATCAGTTAGCCTAAGCAGTTCAAAGTGTAGCAGTTGTGAAATGTAAAAAAAGGTACTATTCTGTTATGGCGGCGCCACCTGAGACCTTCGGTAAAGACGTATTTTTTAGTTTTGCGGAACGTTTCTGTAGTTTATCGATAGCTCAAATCAAGTGAACTTTAATGACATGTTTAATTTCTCAAATAGCTTATTTTTGGCGCCGTACCACTCAAAACAAGATTCCGTTTCTCATTCAAAGATTTCTCACTGAATAAAAGTTCTGTCGTAACGAACTTACAATCGTTAGATAGAGAAAATCTTTCCAATTATAATTGTATATTTGGCTTTCGTAATGGACTTCTTCGAGCTTAGTAATGACCGAAAGAATATCAGGTTTCACCACTTAGACCTTTCAAATCCACTCTTCGTGTGCGAATTGCAGAGCTTCAAGAAGTTCTTTCTAGAAAGCAAACACATTTCCTTGATCAGAAAAATTTGCTCTATCTAATGGTTAAAATTTCGTTAAAAAAAAACTTTTATCAGGCGCGAAACTTTCAAATGTGAAGCCAAATGTCATTTTGACTGATACGGCTTTTAAAACAGGCAATATGAGAAATGAAATATACCATTAAAACTCACTTGATTTAAGCTATCAGATAATCGTACATTCGTCAGATAACAGCAAAGAATACGCTTTTAGCGAAGTCCTGAAGTGGCGCAGCCATAATAGAATAGCATCGAGAAATTTGGAGAAAAGGAAGATATGGAAAAAAATAAGAGGAAAAGAAGAAGAAGAAGAAAAAAAAGAGGAAAACAATCGCAGGAAAGAAAAGAGAGATGGTTGACTCCTCGTAATACTTTGAAACAAAAAGAATACATAATCGCATAAAAGATCTCCAAGCGAAATTGATCTGCGTGCTTTTGAAGAGACTTTTCCAGAAGTCTCTGGATCGCTTTTCTGAAAGAAATTCTAGTTGCAGAGTTTGATTCACTGCCTATTGATCGTCTTTAACCCTCTGCAGACGATGAAGGGTTTTTTGATCGCTCGACTTTCCAGAAGTTCCTTTCCACTACAAAAAGCTTTTCATCTGGAATGTGGGTGGTCACTACTCGAAAGCTCAAATCTCGGTGATTCCAAGGCTGTGCTTGTTCCCTCTCAGTACCCCGTGGTGGCGACGATGAGATCACGATTCACACTCTATTTGCTTATGTACTCGGCTAAGTTCTATGGATCGTTTCTTCGCTACGCTCCGGTTATAAGGGGGCTATTGAATATTTCACCTCATTTGCCGTACAAGAATATTCCATAAAAGTGTTAATTATTATTTGAAAGCTTCAATCTCAGGCTGCAGCCCCCTCTGGCCGGTTTGTTGGAACACTTTTTTATAACGCTGTAAAATCCAAAATAAAATTATGTTTCACACGTCCACGGTTTTTTCTCTCATCTTGCTTATATTTTGCTGGGCAAAACTGCTTCCTTATACTGCTAGTACTCTTTCGACAGCATAAGTCTCGGAGAACTCAAAAATGTCTTCGATTTTCGTGAAAGATCTTTTGACAGCTCTGCAGGAGAAAGGAAAGATTGGGCTTCCGGCGAATTATACGCGTGATAAAAATGGAGACGCGGGGCCGATGTATAACACAATTTCCTTTAGGAATTTAGCGTTATAAAAGGGTGCATTGAAAATCCGGCCACATACGGCTCTAGCCAGAGATTCAAGCTTTCGAATGATTCCCCTATGAAAAATTCTTGTACAGAGAATGAGATCGAATAATCATTTGTTCCCTTACAACCGAAAAGTGTTCTTTTCCTTGAGCAATACTAGTACTCATTCAAAAGAACAAATTTCGGCGAATCCGAAATCAAAGTTGATTTTTGAAAAGGTTTCCACAGCGCACCATGAGAGTGAACATAAAATCACGTCTCACACTCGGGGTTTTTTCCGCAGAGTTATTTATACTGGAAAAGTACATGAGCGTGTAGAGAAAATCGGAGTATCAGCGTAAAACAAAAAACCTAAAGTAATTCCCAAAACAAAGGAAAAAACCTTGTTTAAACAACGAGAACTGCGCACCGATTGCGAAAATCGATTAAGCCGCCGTCCACAAAAGGTTGAAGCAAAAAACAGCATTTCCGAGCGAATCTTAACAGTTTGCAGCTTTCAGCTCTCAGCGAACGGCAGCATAATCAATTTCCGGAATCGGTGCGCAATTTCCGTTGTTTAAACAAGGCTTTTTCCCTCCTTTCAGAACATACTTTAGATTTTTTGTTTACTCTGATACTCCATAATTTTCTCTACACGCTCATATGCTTTTCGTGCATATATAGCTCTTTTGTGCGAAGAAAATCCTGAATATGAAACGCCGTTTCATGTTCACTCTCACAACGCGCGCTGTGAAAACCTTTTCAAGAATCAAATTTAATTCTGAACTTACCGAAATCTTTACAGTTGTATCCTAATTAACCCTCATTAACCGTCTGCGGACGACAGCATAACCAACATCGCCAATGGAACGTAATTCTTATTCTTCAACAAGAATTGTTCCTCAAATTCAGGAAGAACTTCAAGTTTTAAGAATGTTTATTGCGAAGTTTTAAAAACAGTCGATGCCGTGGATCAATTTCGTTCTACCAGCCAAGATCGATCGACTGGGAAGTTGGTGATGGCACAGTGTCACTGTACACTATGCCATCACCACATATCCTCCCTCCTTGCGACAATACAGGGTTTAATGTGGGGCGTGGGCCACTGACGAGTAGGGCGAGACCTCTGAACCACGCGTTTATGGACCTGGCGTATCAACCTCGAGTAAGGCTTTGAACATTTTTAAAGAAAGTTGATTGAATGTTTATTGCGAGGTTCTAAAAACAGTCAATGCCATGAACTTCAGGTTTCTTGTACCATTTAGATGAAACATGATTTTCTCTACTTTTGTGCATAAGTGACTCTTAGGTGCAAAGAAAACTTCGAATGTGAAAAGGAATTTCATTTTCGCTCTCACAGCACAGTGTGAAAACCCTTTAAAGAACCACTCTAACCTACAAATTCTTCGAGATTTGAGCTATTGAATGAAATTAAAAAAGTCCAATAAAACAATCCACAGACTTTAGCTGAGCGAGTAAGGTGAACCTAGTGTGAAACATAATTATATTTTTGCTGCCACAGCGTACTACAAAGGCCTTCTGAAAAGGCAGGAAAGTGTCGTATAATCCCTGAGATTTAAGTTTTTAAATGATTACTTGAATTTTCGCTAAAAAGCTTTATTCGGCGAAAAAAGCTCCTAAAAGATTCGAGGGTCAAAATAACCCTCACCGTCTGCACAGGGTTTAAAGTTCTTCATTTTGGGGCGAAAGAGAATTCACAGACACCAAACTTAGACAAGGAACACGAGCGAACGTATTTCTTAATTTTTAGAATTAGAAGAAGAAAAGATTGCGAGAAGTCGTCAAATGAAGCGTAAGCACCGCAGCCACTTTTTTTCCTCGACTGATTACGGTAGCGTGAGGCTTGAACCCCTCGACGGGATGAGGCGTTTATTAAATCGACTGTTTCTAAAACCTCGTTATAAACATTCAAAATCAAATCCAAAAAAAAGAATGTTTTTAGCCTAAAACGAGGTTGGTACGCCAGGGCCATTCAATGGATTAGTTTTGGTCTACCAGCCGAAACATCGACTGATGGTGATGGACCAGTGTATTGTACACTATGCCATCATCACATACGCCTCCCTCCTTGCTACAATGCAGGGCTTAATGTGGGGCGGGGGTCACTGACGAGGAGGACGAGCCTCCGAAACACCGGTGTATGACCCTGGCGTACCAACCTCGTTTAGGCTAAAAACATTCTTCTTTTTCTTGGAATTATTTTGATGAGGCGTTTGTTTATGGCCAAAGAGTACCGAGCCAGTACACGTAGGAACAGTCCGCGCTGAACTTGTGGACCAATATTTTTTTGCAAAACTTCTGCATGGAGTAGGATTTGAACCCACGCACCCTTACGAGTACCAGAATGCTCAACCGCTTCCGCGCGGCAAGTGAAACCTTGAGTCTGGCGCCTTAGACCACTCGGCCAACCGTGCACACCAATTTCGATTCCCTCCATTGATCTAAAATATCCCTTTCTCTTATTTTTCCATCGAAATATCTCTTCGTAATCAACTGTGAAGGTTTTTGCAAAAGTTTGCACGGAATGGGATTTGAACCCACGCACCCTTACGAGTACCAGAATGCTCAGCCGCTACCGCGAGGCAAGTGAAACCTTGAGTCTGGCGCCTCAGAGCACTCCGCCATCCATGTACATCAATCTCGATCCCCTCCATTGATCTAGATATTCCTTTCCCTTATTTTTCCATCGAAATATCTCTTCGTAGTCAATTGTGACCACGGACCTCCCTCTTTGAGGGATCCCGCCCGGTTAGTCGCGAGGGCACGTGGCGCGTCCCCAGGTGGTGGATGGGGGAATAAAACGAACGCGAACCAAAAGCGACCGTGTGCTTCCCAGAGACGCAGGTGGATTCAGGGGACGAGCTCGCTGCTTCTGCAGTGCCGACTTAACAAAAACTCTATTTCTACGAGTCAAGTCGGCCAAAAGCCTGCAATCAAGCGGCTGGGAAGGACATGGGAGGCGGTTAGGAGTCGCCTTCAACAAACAAGCTCCTCCCGCTTCTCCGAGAGAGACTGGCAAGCTACTTGTGAGTACCCAGCCCCCACGTTTAGAGCCTGGCAAGCTATACGTTGGGTATCGAAATGCCAAAAACAGCAACAAATATGGGCCTCATTCCCCTGACCCCGAAAGAGCCCCTGGTACGGCAGCGCCAGGTAGGACGAGTACGGAGAGGCTGCTAAAATCTCAGGGCCGAACTAGGCTGCCAAGATCGAAACGCACTAAAATGACGATCTGTACATACAACGCAAGAACCCTTGCTCACCAATCCGCTGTAAAGATCTATTGATTCAAGCAAGAAGAATAAGGTACGACGTCATTGGCCTGGCTGAGACGAGAAGGCGCCACCCTTTTCACGCTGTTTATGACACCGGAAAAGAACTGTTCCTTGGTACATGCGATCGCAGAGATGTCGGTGGCGTTGGCGTCCTCGTCAAAACGAATTTGACCGTGAGCATTGATTCGTTCGAACAACTAACAACCCATATCGGACGATTACGGTTGAAACGACCTGGTTCTATGCCGGCTTTGACCATCTTCGTTGCTTACGCACCAACATCAAGCTATGACGAAGACGAAGTCGAAGCATTCTATATGGACCTCGAAAAATTCTTCAGAGAAGATCATACATTCTTCAAGGTCATTGTCGGAGATTTTAACGCAAAAATTGGACCTAGAAGAACGCTGAAGAACGTCACATAAGGACCCACGGACTAGAATGGAATGAACAGGGTGGAGGCTATCTGAGTTTATCATGACGACCCAAACCATCCATGGTAACTCGCAATTCCAAAAGCCTCTTTCTCAACGATGGACGTGGGAGTCTCCCAATGGAAAGTACCATAACGAAATAGATCACATCATAGTAAATCGAAGGTTTTGCCTGACAGACGTCGCTGTTGTTCCCAAGTTCTACACGGGATCAGACCATCGCCTCCTTCGCGCAACATTCCGATTTTCGAGGAGAGGAGAGAAAGCCGCTAAATTCAAACAAGGAAGTCCCAGAACTACCATAAACTGGGATGTATTCAAATCATTAATCGGCTCTTGGGAAGATACCGTTGTCGACAACATCGACGAAGAATACGATCGACTCGTTGAATATCTTCGCGTTAGCGCTATGAAAGCCGAGAGTCCTAAGGTCATGAAGAGACGCTTGTCTCCGCAGACACTCGAGCTGATACGTCAACGTGGAATCGCACGAGCTACAGGCAACCGAATTTTAACGTCCGAACTTGCGAAACGCTGCAGAGAAGCGATAAAAGAAGACCTTAAAGAGAGAAGAGCAGCAGTTATGGCAGAAGCTGCAGAAGCTGGGAAGAGCATTCGCAAAGCCCAGCGAGGCTTCGCCAACTATAAGACCAAGATGACTGCACTCCGATACCCTGACGGGACACTTACAGCTTCGAGAAGGGCTATGGAGAAAATCATCCACCAATACTACTCGGATCTCTTCGCTAGCCATGTCCTCCTACCGTCATATAAATTGAAAGTGGACGAATATGTCGTCCCACCAGTCCTCCTTTCCGAAATCCGACATGCTATATCGTCGGTGAAGAACAGAACAACACGCGGTCCAGACAGGATTAGGCCAGAACATCTGAAGAATCTGCCGCCAGTTCTCATCAACACCCTGGCTCGGCTCTTCACTCGCTACCTGTCAGAATGCAAGGTCCCTACTCAATGGAAACCAGCAAGCCGTATTGTTGTTCAAAAAGGGAGACCTTCACGACATAGGCAATTATCGCCCAATCTGCTTGCTGTCCGTTGTCTATAAACTCTTTACTCGAGTCATCCTGAACAGGATTGACAGAACACTGGACGAAGGACAGCCATGCGAACAGGCAGGGTTCCGAAAAGGATTTAGTACTATGGACCACATTCACACGATTACAAGACTCATCGAAGTTTCGCGAGGGTACAAACAACAACTCTGTCTCACTTTCATCGATCTGAAGAAAGCCTTTGATTCAGTGGAAACAGAAGCGGTTATAGCGGCTCTGGATAACCAAGGCGTCCCTACTCGGTACATAATGATTCTTCGTGAGCTTTACAAAGAATTCACGACCAGAATATCTCCATTCTACAACAATATCACCATTGACATAAGAAGAGGGGTTCGACAAGGCGATACAATTTCGCCAAAACTATTCACTGCCACTCTACAAAACGTGATGCGAACATTAGAATGGGACGAAATGGGAGTGAAAATTGATGGTCGACAGTTAAACCATCTTCGCTTTGCTGACGATATCGTTCTCATAACACCAAACATCAGCCAAACGGAACGAATGTTGACCGATTCGATAACGCCTGTGGAAAGATCGGTCTTTAACTGAATCTAACGAAAACAATGTTCATGAGGAACGGATGGGTTTCTAATGCCCCATTCACGCTCAAAGGAACGACAATTTCCGAATGCTCCAGTTACATCTATCTACGTCGTGAAATCGACATGATGAGCGACCTAGCCCCAGAGTTGAGCAGGAGGAAACGAGCGGCTTGGGGAACGTTTAAGAGCATCGAAGATGTAGTGAAGAGGACAAAGAACATCCGACTCCGTGCCCACCTTTTCGACTCGACAATTATCCCTGCCCTAAAGTATGCAGCAGAAACCTGGTCGCTACGTAAGCAGGATGAAAGATCACTTGCCGTTATCGAACGCGCAGTCGATAGGTCGATGCTAGGAGTATCTCGTATTTCGCAAATGAGAGAAAGGATCCGAAGTTCCGACTACGTCAACGATCGAAAATCAGAGACGCCGTTCTACACGCCAGGATATCGAAAATAAGGTGGGCCGGACACGTGTTGCGCTTCAACGACAACAGATGGACGAGAGCCGTTACCGACTGGATTCATCGGGAAGTCAAGCGCTCTAAAGGAAGACCACTGACCCGTTGGTCCGATTTCTTCACGAAAGCGATAGAAGAAAGATATGATGCTCAGCGAATCCCTAGAGCGAGGAGGACCCACTGGGCTACTATTGCACGCGATAGGGAAAAATGGAAGAGTTGCTGGTACCCGCTCGAGTCACTCGACGATCAACGGGACGACAGGTGATACAGGTGAATCAATTGTGAAGGTTTTTGCAAAAGTTTGCACGGAGTGGGATTTGAACCCACGCACCCTTACGAGTACCAGAATGCTCAACCGCTTCCGCGCGGCAAGTGAAACCTTGAGTCTGGCGCCTTAGACCACTCGGCCATCCGTGCACACCAGCGCAATACCCCACCATAGATAACTGTACATGTTATTTGCCACTCTCTAATTCATATTATTTCTTTCCCATAATTGCACCTCAGCTATCTGTAACACGAACAGTTAGAATTTTTCGTCTAGGATTAACCCGTTGGGTACCACGTTGACTTTTCGCGTGGCAGACGACGAGATCGGGCGGCGAGCGGAGCATGTTACAATGAAAATTTTGCAGTTTTCAATGAAATGTGGTATTTTCTCCCCACCGAAAGAGGTTTGATCGTCGGCGAACAGTTGAATGTGATAGAAGAGACCTTATTAAGGCCATTTTCAGTTGAAACATGCCAACATAATAACAAAACAATGGAGTTTTTATTCGAAAGTGTTTCCGCATATGGCAGCACAATGCCACCTCATCAATAAGATTTAACATTTCTTCGAGATTAGTCTACTTTTAGGGTTGGAACCCCGATGGAATCCCGGAAGAAACTATGTTCTACTAAACTATGGGTATCACATCTTTATATTATTCATTTAGACTGTGCTATGAACATTATTAAACTTTTCGCTGACTATTTCCGAAGGAGTTCTCAGATGAATAAAAACTCTGTAGCGGCGTGCGATGGCCATATACAGTGGTATGCTTCCTCCTCTAAAACGTGAATTTCGAAAGAAAAGGCAAGTACGCACTAGAAGTTGATATTTTGAAATGTTACTGAACATCGTTCTTGAATATGTTCATTCATATTTCAATAATAATCGTCTTTTATTTACTACATCAACAACAATACAATACTCAAGCTATTGATGAATCCCTACATGAATAGGGATGGAAAAGAAATGAACGAAGTTACGTAACAGCTGGAAATATGCTTCCTTTCAGAACAATGTGCTTTTCCCGTTGAATCATGAATGATTTTTTGATGTATGGGCATTCTCTTAACTATAGATTTTTTCATAGAAGTCTCTTCTGCTATATTTCATCATTTCATCGCAATAATATCGCCTCAGTACCTCAGATTACTTAACAGGTTGCCATATTTCCTTCGCAACGCGTGATAATAAAGACTCCCGCCGCGCGACGAGCGGTATGAGCCAATAACAGCTCAGGTATTTTTCAACATGTTAAAAGTTGTGCTAGCAATCGTTTATGGTAGAAAATGAGCTTCCGAAAAACGCTTACACAACATTGCCGAGAAAAAATTATAAAGAGAAAGTTTCCAATACATTGTTTTCCCTTCTGCTTAGCTTTTGCAACAAACTGCAAGTATTCCAAGGACAAGTAGGCGTTCTTTCGATTAAAAATGCGCTTATAGAACCTCCCCCTCAATAATAATTCATTATTTCGAATTGACAAAGTCTGTGTAAGATCAAAATTTTACTGTGCAGTACGGAGAAATCTTCTGTAAAGTTGAAACAAAGCTCTTCGAAAGCACAA